GTTCACGGGCGGACTCCTCCTCCAGCTCAGCGGCTTCTCCAGCTCCTTGGTGGCCACCGGCAGGACCGGCTGGGCTGGGTCAGAGCAGCAGCTGGCGAGTCTTCTCGTATGTCCCCAGGAAGATGAAGCCTCCCAGGCTGATGGCTGCCATCCGTGGGACAACACCTGCGAACAAACTGAAGGCAAAGGAAAGGCAGTTTCAGAGAATGAGCGGATGCTGCACAGCTTTAGAAAACAAAGCCAAGAAAAATTCTCTCTTGCCCGTTTACTGAAATCCCACGCTACTGCTCAACTGAAGGAACCTGTCTGGGCTTCCCTAACAGAGTACTCCCAAGCCTTGTAATTTTTAGCCCCTCTACCCATCCTCAGGTGCAGAAGCAAAGGTGCAGGAGGCCATGGGCCACACTGTGGAAAGAGAAGCTCAGACAGATCCCCACGAAGGACTGCAGACAGATGGGAAGTGTCCCGTCCTCCCTGGCCCCATCCAGCCTCAGCAGAGGGACCCCCTCTCCCTGGAACAGCTCATTCCCAGTAACATCCGACGGGGCCAGCAGGGAGGGAACAGGAACGGCTGCACCTTCAGCCACCATGATTTTTAGGTGCCTGATCCTAAAAGTTCTTGGAAGTTAACAGGAAACGCATGCAAAGCCAATTGCTCAACACATCTAAGCTCACAGTTGGTTTAACAACTTCAGGATAGGCCAGAGCATTACAGGCTTCCTCCACTGCAAGCAAGGATTAACCATTAGGCTTGAATCTGTTCTGCATCCCCCCGCTGATCTACTCGCATGACGGGAGCCATTCGCAGCACATTCTGGCTCAGCTCTGCAAGGATGCTGTCCTTGGCTTTTTCCAAATGCTGCCTGGTCCCTGCTAGGAGCATGTCCACAGTGGGACAAGGTGTAATTCCCAGTGAGACGGGGCTGCGTGGGAGCTCTCTGCTCCCTGCCCGCGCCCGGCTACTCACGCTGCGCTGGGGAAACCTCTGGCTGCAGTAACTCTGGTTTTTGTTGTAATGAGCTTTGCTGAGGAGCCTGGAGCACACAGGCAGATTGAAACATTTTATGGCTTTACTAGACAGCAATTGGGCCTATTACCATAATGACAGCTTTAAAACAGAGTAATTTGTACAAGGCATGTATGGACAGAGCGCTGATAGGGTAAATCCTACGGTGCAGCATCGCTCTCGAAACACGCACCATCCTTCCCTGCCGAGTTAGGCAGCCTTCATTACAGCAGCAGGGGCAGACGTTCGTTTACAGAACAGCCCACTCGAGACACAGCTATTACACAAACAGGGGCAGATAACTCAGTTATCCAGAAGCTGCATCCCTGGCAACCTCTATTACTAACCATCACTTCCAAGAATCCTGGCCCCGCTCTCCCCAGTTTCCCTTTCCCACCCACACGATCCCCCGTGGGCTTCCCCCTGCAGGAGGGCAGAGCCGAGCAGCTCCGGGGCAGCGCTGAACGCAGAGCTGAGCTTTCCTGCAGGCCTGATCCAAACGGGTTCCTGTTGGGCTGCACCTGCCCTCATCAGTGGATAACACAAACTGGGTTTTTTTTTCTGCTGGCCCCATCGGAAACCACTCCGGTGGGCACAGGGCTGCTGTCTATCTGTATTTGCTCTCTGTTCGCACAGATTTCACCTGGCACCCTGCCACCTTTCTCTTCGCCTGGGTTTTCCCGTTTGCTTAAGCAACTCTCCCAGTTACCGGCTGGATCCAGCACCAAGGGCTGGAGGGCTTCACCGCCGCCTTCTCATCACCACCAGCTACACCAAGCGCACAGCGTGTCAGTGACTGGCAGAGCCCAGCCGCGGGCTTTCAGGTACGGACACGTCGCGCTCTCCCCAGCCGTGCGAGGGACGGCTCGGCAGGAGTCACAAATCCGGGGGCGAGGCCTGGCTGCAGGGGTCAAACCCGCACCCTGTGCCCCCCTGACTGTGTGCATGCCCTTCGGGATGCAGCTCTTCGCTTCAGGGATCCCAGCCCAGCAATACACCGAGTCCCATGGTCCCAGCACCAAAGGGGACATTTATGGGCCACAACTCAACAACCCAAAAGCAAATTCTTTCTCAATAGAGACTAACCAGGACCCCTGAAGTCACCCTTTGGAAGAGACACAGCAGAGAGGGTCCAGCGCTCAAAGGGCGCTGTGTGCTCGGCCACAAACCCCCGTGCTACGGTCCTGACCAAAGAGGTGGCCATGCTGAGAAAAACCATCACTTTTACCTGACTACAGTTTTTGGGCTGAGCTCCTTCCTGCGAGCACCTTGTGTTTCACAAAGCAGCAAGCCCTGGGCACAGGGGCTGCTTTCGCCACTCGCACCGGTGAGACCAGGCTCTGAGGAGCGGTGGTTAGTGCCCGCCGTGCCGCGTCCACCTCCGCCTCACCCGAGGAACGAGACGCCTGGTGCAAACTGCCAGCTCCATCCCCAGCTACACACAAGCTGGAACAAGCCATCTCACCAGATTTATCAGTTAAAAACCCTCGTCTTTCTCACCAGTGAGTTGTGAAGCTTCATCCGTGGCTTTCAAACGCCGCCACCAGCTCCCTGCATGAAAAGCAGCCGGACAAGATATAAACCTGCTTTCGTGGGAGTGGCTTGCCTATGCTGCTGGCAAGAGCAAAGAGGTGCATGGATCTGCTCACCCCATCCCTATCCTACCTCCCGCTGCAGGCCTGGCTCTCCCCGGACAGGAAGGGATGTGAAATTTCTTGGCGTGAAGCAGAGGGATTTACTAGGTGCAGACCAGGAAGCTGAGCCCTGCACTCTGGTTTTAATAAGGTGGCAATAAGCAATGCATCTTGCTGCCCTCAGAATTCCTCCTCTTCAAGTACAAGATTTATTAGAGGAACCATAAATCATTTCATGTTGCAACTGGCCAAAAAAGCCCGACATTTTAATTGGTTTTGATTAATAGATTTATAATTGGCAGCAGGCATGGCAGCCTCTGCGTTTATTTTTCCCAAGACTTTCTTCCTTTTCCTTGCAGCTGACGCAGCTTGGCCTCCTTTACACGTTGCTTTTTCTCCAGATCGCTTATTGTTTTGATTTCAATTGAATTGTGTTCCCTTTGGTCCTAGTCCACGGGCACTATCTTTAGGCAGAATTTAATTTTGGGTTGTTTAGAAAAGGGCACTGCTGAAACACCCTGAAAAGAACACAAACATACATTTTTATTTTCTGCCTCTTCACACCCTTCAGAGCTCAACTGCCATCAGCAGCAGATACAGCCTCGCTTCTCCCAGTCCCTTTCAAAACATGCCCTAGAGTCCACCAAGCTGTGTAGGACCCAAAACTCATCCACCACCAGGTCACCTCATCATCTCAAAGAGCAAACCTGAGACAACCCATCCCTGAGCGCTGCCGGGGGCCACAGCTGGACGTCTTCCTGGAATCGGTGTTGAGGAACTTCCTGCAATTTGTTTTGAATTATTTCCCACATGTGTAGAAAAAGGATTGAACCTTTATTAGTTGTGTGAGCAGAGATCAGATGTTAAGAGAAAACTATCTCCTGCAAAGCTGCAATGTGCATGCTGCTTCGCGCAACAGTTTACAAATGTTCAAACAGCACCCCGAAAGTATCGGCCACATGAAGCAGATTAGAAACCCGTGAGAAATTACAATGAAAAGCTCCAAGCAAAGCTTCCAAAAACCCTCTGTTTCTCTTCCAGGTCAAGGGCCGGTGGGACACAAGCCCTACCGAAGGAGGCACAGGCTGAACACCACGGACTGGAGGAGTTGTTTAAGACACATATTCACTACAAGTGGCTATTAACTGGTATGACTCGCACACCCAAAACAGGCAAGGTAGCGTAAATGAAGCAGGTGTCTGTAAAAATCAGTAATAATTTATAAGCCCATAACACCTCAAAACATTCTACAAACCCTAGCAGAGGACTTTTTGTTCACAACACCGCTCCAAGGTCAGCAGAGCAATTCTCCATAAAGAAAAAGAGTAAAGCGAGGCAGCTAAGAGACTGGATCAACATCACCCCACGCTTCCACAGCTGGTCAGAGGAAAGCCCAGAACATTTCTACACCCCAATTACAGGAGGAAGGCAGCCAGAGAGCTGCTCTGCGGCTGCTCAGACTTACTCTGCACTCAAGCCCGACTCAGAAAACTTGCATTTAAGCAACAAGTGCCTCACTGGAGAAATGCGAGCGGGCACGTGCTCAAACCCAGATCTGATGGAAGGCTCAAAGGACAAGTCAGGGAGCACATGGCTCCCTTCCTTCAGCTTCCATTTGTCCCTACTGCTGGCACCACACTGGCATCACATGCTCCCATCATGCCTCACAGTAAGAACTAATAAAAAGGAACAGAGGAGAACTTGCTGGTATTTGACTTGGAGGAAAAGACACGTGGCACCCACGTTGGCCTTCACTGACGTCTCAGGAGGGGTCATTCCCACCCCTCAAGATCAATCTGTGGCACTCACTGCCACAAGACGATGTGCATGCCCAACATTTAAATGGATACAAAACACAAATACACACGTTCATGGAGAAATTGTCCATTAAACACAAAGTCACCCTCGCCTCCAAAGCCTGGAGCTAAGCTTAGAGATTGTACCACAGATAAACCCCCAAAAATGCCCTGTTTCTATGCTCTTCCCTGGATATTGCTCATAGCCAATGCTAAAGTGAGGACATTAGACCTCCTTCAAGGGACCTTCTTGCTCCTAGATACCCAAGAGCTGCTCCCTGGCCATGTGTACAAAAACTAAAAGTCTTTTCTGTATGACAGGATTTAAACACAAACAGACCATCCCGTCCTCTCCCACCCCCCAACACACACAGAGACACAACGCCCGAGATGTGCCTCTACAGCATGTCCTTACCCTGACAGGCCTTCTGTCCTCCAGATGCCACTGAGGGCAGCCAGAACATTCCCGCTAGCGTTGCTGGAACCAGCCTGCACCACAGAAAGAGAGAGATTGGAAACTGCTGGCAGAGAGGTTTAGTTACTTACTGAGCTCCCTGTCCCTGGCTAGTGCTACTTTGCAGCAATTACAGACATCCTAACAACCTCCTTACCCCCGGCACAGGCAAAAGCTCCCTGTCTCCAGGAGTGAGGCAAAGGGCAGAAAGGGAAATCAAGGCACAGAAGAACAAAACGACCACTCCGACATCCCAGAGCTGGTTAGTGACAGAACTGGGGCTCCAGTCCCTTTTGCACTACACTCAGCGCTGCGTCCAGCAGCTGACACTGAAGTAAGGTGTTAATAAAAATACACTCTCAAAGCACCAACAAGCAACTTTGCTGCTCACTGCAAGAGGACAGCAGCCTTAAAATTTACTTTAAAAAAAAAAACAAAACAAAACCATGAGTAGTGTATTACATGTGAAAATTGCCTTGAGTGCAAAACAGAGGGCAAACAGCAGAACTACAGACAATTAAATTACATGTGTGATCTAGTTAGTGTGAGATGACTAATGTAAAGATGCTGTTTGAATGGTCTCAGAACATCCCAAAGCACCACCATTCCCTTACCAACGCTGACCCAGTTGCTCAGGACAGCAGCAGACATAAACGAAACCCAGTTCTTACAGTTTTATCGCCAACACTATCCAAAGGCAAAGAAACTGCAGTAGGTGCAACACCCATCAGCAAGAGATACACAACGCAGGAACATGGTGAGCACAGATGTGCACGACCCAGCTCCGGAGGTGCACATCATCAACAAGACACACCCCCATACTGAGAGACATGAGCAATAGGGTAAAAGCCATCCACAGAAACTCCAGGATGCTCCACCTTCGCCGATGTAACAGCTCCTTTCAGGGCAGAGAAAGGCTTTAGGAATATCCACCTGCTAAGGGCTTCTAGCTTTGTGGCTGCTTAGCTCTGCTCTGGGTCAGCAAGACGATGACAGGAACACTAGACTTACTAGCAATTTAACTACTTACTAAGCTTACTGATCCTATAAAGCAATCTTCCTTCTGCTGTGGTTAGCAGAGGTAAGCCACCACGATCTTTATGGCTTAAAAATTTAGGACAGAAAATCCAGTGCCAATCTCAGAAAAGACACACACAGACACACACAAACGTACACAGCCAAACACTCACTCTCTCTCTCTCAAGCCCAACAATTATCAAAACAACAGAGGAATAAATCCCTGATGGGAAGTTTAACTGTGGGCACCTGACTCTGCAAGGATTTTCTCCTAAGGACACTGCATGAGACTCTGGAAGTCTAGCACAAGCACAAGCCCTTATCAGACAGCTCCTTTGGGAAAGGACCAGAAGAGCAATTCAGGGAAAGGAACACAACGATTTCATTAGTTCTGCATGTAGTACCTGTTCACATCTAATCCTGCCTTTGAGGACATGAGCAGAAATCATTATTACTAGGTGCTGGATTTCATTCCGTAACGACCATACAGAAACTCTGGAACTACCCAAGCCATTCACCTGCGTCTCTGCTGGCCGGCCTCCTTCGCTCTTACCTTTGCCAACATAATTCTTGTCTTCGCTACATCGAGAGGTGTGGTGACTGCAGCTGCAAATCCACCTGAGCAAAGTAAAATACCAAACACAAGTGAGACATTGTTGAGTGAATATGAATGCCACACTGCCTATAATTCCCATGGCTGTGGTCAACACTGCTCCATTATTAATGCCTACAGCATGATTGTTGAAGGTCTGTACACTGAGTGTTTTATTCCTGTGTGTTGACTTAAGGAAACAGCTCTATACTAGTTCACTGTAAATCCAAACATCCCCATTGAGGTTCCTGTCCTTTTGTTCTGGACTCTGTACATATATGAACATATGAAGGTCATTAAGGATAACGGATTCCACTTCCAACTTCTACAAACAAGTTTGAAACTAAGAACTCACTCATTTGCAGAGGTGGGAAAATAAGTTCATCACACTGTGCTCTGCCTTGAGAATTAATTGACCATTCAAATGCTAGAAAGCCAGAGAGGAAAGATGCTCTGCATCCGAAACACACATGCTTCAGGGGCAAAACTATCTGAAAGACTTGTATTGGATCTGGATTTCAACTGTTAGACCTGGGACTCTGTTCCAAGGAAAAAAGACAAGCCAGTGTTTGGGATGGAGCTCATCTTCAACGAATGCAACCAGCTCCATTTTGGAAAACAACAATATGAAGCTGCCCAAGGGGCTTTGGAAATTGTCAGAAGCCTGCTGCCACAAGTGCCATAATCTCCTCACGGGCATTTTTATTCTCTCTAATCACTCCCAAACTTCACCCTTGGAGCTCATTACTTTCACTCGGAGCAGCTAGCTCAGCTGTGGCTTTCCTCATGAAAGCCAGAAATCTTCAGCTTATCCATCTGCATGTCTCACCCACAAATGTGTGTGTCTCTTTCTCCATGTTTTAACCCTGTGGCTACAGCCTGGCCTCTTGTGCTACCTAGGGACCAGCTTTGCTGCTTTTTCTCCCAGGCTCTTATTCCCTTTGCCTTATTTCCCCATCCTAAAATTAACTCTAATCTCTCACTCTCTCCTCTGTTCACAGCATTTCAAGCAAGTAATTCATGCTGAGGAAGAGCCAAAGCGAATGAAACTTTTAAAATGGAGGAGCAGAGCAGCCCAGCAGTAAGTGAAGAGAGAAAGGGGAAGAAATGGAGGAAGAAAAGATAGAGAGACTTCTTCTGAAATCTCTCTCTCTTCTTCCTCCTTTTTTTTCCTCTGGAGCTCATATAAATCCCATATCTGCTACAGCAGGGAACAAAGTGACTCCAAAGACTGAAGCCTACACAGTACCCAGGGAATAAGCTAAAAATAATCTATTTTCTGGTCCAAGTTTTATGGAATGTAGAAAAATTGATCTCTGTTTTCTTGGGATGGCAAGGGGGAAAGCACTGCTTCTAAAAATCTGTAAAGTAATGAGAAAATCCTCTTTACCCACTGGTTGGTGTTTTTACCTGCATACATTTCTCTGAACCACCTTAGCTTTAACATATTAAAACCCTGCCTTATGTCAGAAAGGGGTCATGCCAGCTGGCACCCTATGCTGACTTCTCACAGTTAATTAAGAATATCTCGTGACAGCTCAGGAGATGCAGTAAGGCACATGTGCAGTCCCCTGGATCTCAAACAAGAAAGCAGGCAAGCCAAATTAGTGAACAGCCCAAAATGCCTGGTTTAGGAGCAACTTCCGCTCACGTAAGGTTGGCCCATCTGGTTCACTCTGCCTGAAACTTTCTAGCAGTGATGCCTCACTAAAAAGCAGAAAAATGGGTTGTTTTCAAGAAGTCAAAGCAGAAACTATGAGCAAGTTAAATAAAATTCCAGCCCATTCTTGGACCTTCTTTAAGGTCAAAGATCTTTTTTATTGTGAGCCAGCTTTTGACTAAATGACCCCAAAGGCTTTGAGAGAATGATCTGGTTAGAAACTCTGGTACTCATGTCAGAGATGTATTTTTAGAACAGTAAAAATAATCTCCATGGAAAATAGTGGCTTTACAAGTCTGGATGTAGAAGCCCTTCCTTTGCCCATAGACTAAGATAAAACTGACCAGTGAACCACATGGCTGTCAGGCCTGGATCAAACAAAAAATCTCAATGCATCACTTGGCTACAGAGTTGACAATAACTCTTTAGTCAGACTAACTTATTTCCCTTACCAGATCCCAGTTATTTTTTAAGGTATTTGTTCCTAGCAGTTTCTTCTCGGCAGAAGCTTCAATTTTGTCTGACAGAGTGATTAGAACAAAGACAATTCATCCTGATATGATGTTCCCAAATTCTTATCTGAAAGGTTTAATCAAGGCTGATTGGTTTTCATTTTTTTCCCCAGCTAACATCTGGAGCTTTCAGACTCTTTTGTTATTAACATTTCAATGTTTCTTTTTCCATCACTGGGAAGTATTTGGTACAGATTTACCAATCAATTTAGAATGACAACAGCAACAACAAAATGCTTCATAAGCACAACAAGCAGCGGGACAGCAGCTAAATTAAATGCAAGTTTGTATAGGCTTGACAAAAACACAAGATTAAAGCTAGCATTTGTTGGGAACTGCATTTCATTGAAGGCAGTGACTCTGACAAAATGAATTCACTCCAGCCTTAACCCTAAATGTCCAAGGTAATTTTAGAGTGACCACTTCAACATTAGTACACAGGTATCCAAGAAGAGGCTACAGCCCTAGGGAGGTACCACTCAGTCCCACCTACTGTAACTGGGTAAAGGAACTGACGCCACAACTGTTCCCAGTCATCACACTAATACAACAGATACAAACCAGTACAGCCAGAGCCTACTCATTCGAAATAGGAGGGCTGTGCACTGCACTGTCTAATACACAGGAAGGCCCTACAGATCTTTAAATCACTCCTTTACTCTATTCCTGCTGTCACTGAATTCTCAAAGAGCTGCCACATAAGGCTGGAGTCTGCTCAACTAGTCAGCAACCAGAAAAACCAGGTATCAAAGTATCAGGTGGGCAAGAAAGACCCAGACACATCCAGCCTTACACTCCTAATCATTCCGGCTTCTCTGCAGAGCTGGCAAAGAGAAAAAGGCACCTTTGCAGGCAGTCTGCGCTCAGACAGACTCACTCACCAACTCACTCGTGGAGAAAGCTCCTTTCTCCCTTGCCCTAGAAGGATCTGGTGGTGACTTGGGCTTAGCAAGTAGGCATAAAGATGGATTTGCACATGGGAGAAAGTTCTTTGCTTGTTAATACTTCTAGCAGAATGACAGACTTCTCTGTTGGGAAAATAAAACTTCACGCAGTAGTGGGAAATTCATCACCTGTCTCCCAAGAAGCTACAATGGACGCTGTATATTCACACATCAGCTAAGCAGCTAAACTTTACCAAGCGCAGGGTGTTAAACAGAAAATCCCTCTGCTACTCACACTTTCCCAGTGACCAGTTCTTGATGGAAGTGCCAATGACAGATATCCACAGAGAGCGATATGCCTTTATTTGGCAATAAGAATAAAAAGTCTTGAAGACTTAAGATATTCCCCAAGGTTCCTGCTGGCATTTCCTACCCTTTTTAGCTGTCATATGCAAATAAAAATGGAGAAGCATCAGAACAGAGTGAAATACTTCACCTGAGAACAAAACCTTGCAGTAAGGTGTCTGCCTGCAGAATTTGCTGCTGATGCTTACAAAACATGTAACGGGTTCTTTGACACATGCCTCAAATAAGATCCTATGAGGAGAGGAAGACAATTTCTTCTTCAGTCCCTGTATCTTTTTTTTCTGTACCATTTCCACTTCTCCTCACCCTTTCTTAAGAGTCCAGGGGACCATCCCTGGCCATCACAGGGGCTCCTCCTGTCATCTGGCCAGACCCCTGGCACCCTCTTCTGTAACACCAGCCCAGTTTGGTAGGTCAAGCTCGTCTCAAGAGATAGGAACCTGTGCTTGACTAATGGCCTTGCTTGAATTAGCCGAACTTAGGAAAAAGCAAAAAACCCAGGTTGAGCTATATTATTGCCTGTCTTCATTACTATGTTCTATACTGACATCTGAAGGTTACCCAGGACTGATTCAGGATTGAATCCCAAATCCGGGTTGAAAAACTGAGTTGCACAGGTCCAACACTAAACCTCCTCTCACGCTGCCTGATTTCCAAGTTCCTAAACAAAATGGTTTTTCAGGACTCTTTAGTCAATCAGTTATTATTTGAACTTTTATTTTATTGATAGCAGGTTAAATTTTTTCTTAAGGAGAAGTTTATTCTGGTCCTTTATCACTGTGGGAACTACACCTGCCAATGGTAGATCAAAGTGACCCAAGAACCTCTTTGGATTTCAGCAGAAATACCAAGAGGTAAAGCACTGCTCCTCCAGCGATTTCATCAATTTAGGGTTAGAGGCATGGTCCAGGCAAAGACTGCAGGGAAATCTTGAGAACTACTCAAAAATTTATTCAGAGCTACAGAGTTAAAGAGGCTTTTAGACACAGTGTGTAATCTTGTCAGAGCTGATTAGATCAAAACAAAAGTGATGGGAAGCCTTCCCTGTTAATGTGCAAAAAGCTCTCGTTAGTGCTTTATTATTCACCAGACTTGCACCTCCATTCTCGGTGACTTTGTCACCACAGAGCATTTATTATTAATGTTAAGCCACGCTTTTTTTACAGTAGGGAGAAAGAAGGCATCTTTAACAGAAGCTATTTTCAATTGCATTAAATGGACACTCAGGTTCTCTGACAAGCTGGAGCTGCCTCCCTGCTCCACAGCAGCACTCTGCTTTCCCAACAGCTAATACCCAATGGCAGGATTTCCTTGCCACTGGCCCAATTCCATTGAGGGCATATGAAACCCACCCAGAGGCTCTTCTGGAACAGCAGGGCTGGGGTGCAGTGCTCCAGCCAGACAGCCTAAGCCCAGAGAAGACTCCAGCACGGAGTGCAACCACAATCACACCTGGCCTGCCCGCAGCATGGGGACATGCTTCCTTCCTCCTCCTCCTCCAGCCTGCCAAAGCCTGTGCCCACATCTGGGCCGGCATCCAACCAGCTCAGACAAGAGGCAAGGTTTGGACCAAACACAACCTCAAGCTTAAATTATCATGTAGATCTACCCTTGGGTTCCTCCCCACTGGCTGCTCAGATATCGCCTTTTCTCACTCCCCAACTGCTCCAAGCATCTTCTCTAGTTAAGGCACCAGCGATGATGATAAAGCTGGACTAGGCCTCCAGGGATTAAATTATTAACAGATGAGACAGAAGATTCCAGATGTCTGATATTTATGCTCATGCCTATTAAGTTTCTATAAAAAGCCCATGGATCGCATACACACATCTTGCACATGTGCGTTCAACAAGGAAGAGTCGGGCCTCTCACCGCACTTAGGCTGAAATCGTTGCCATTTCACAGGCACCGGGGATGGAATTCAATATCTTCTTGCTCTTTGTTCAGTCTTTGCCAAATTATCAATGATGATTTAGCTAGGAACTAACCAACACACACAGACACATGCATATATGTGTGTGTGCCACAAAAGGAAGCCGAACAGGACTTTGCTCTCAGTTTGTTTCAGCTTATTACCCTGCCCCTCAGGACCTCTAACATATTTTTTAGAAAGTATTGAATTCTAGAAAAGAACACGGGAGAAAAGCGTGTCTGTCTGATCTGGCCATCCCACTACTACCATGGTGGCATTTGAACGCATCTCTGTGTTTAAAGTTTGGGTTTTCAATAATCTTCTCCTTTTAAGGTTTATAACATGATAATTTTAAATCACTCAGATGCACACATCTACCTTATTTCATTCACAGGGTACAGGTGAGGTTTTGATTTTTTTTTGTTTGTTTGTTTTGGGGTGGAAACAAAGCGATGAAGAGGTTGGTCTGTTTTTTCTTCCCTCATTTGAAGCTATATATAGGTAGTTAATAATTTTTAACCATGGAATACATTCTTCAGAAAGCAGGAAATTATTTTTCCACTGCCTCCATTCAGCAAGGCAGCTAAATATTTTCAGTGAAACAGAATGAATGTCGTACCAGATTAGATCAATATAGGGTCTGCCTGTTACATGTCTGCAGAGGGAGGCAATGGAGATGGAAGGTTCTGATCCAAAAAGAGTTGAACCGGGTGAGTTTTGAAGCAGGTCCTCAAAGGACACATGAGAAAGGAAGTTTAAAATACTGCTGATGGAAAGCAAAGGAAAGGGAAACAACAAACAGAGAAGTAAAACCAGGCTGGAGGAGGTGAAGCTGGAAGGACGACCCAGAGAATATTTATCATCACCAATTACAACACAATCTACAAAATAGGACTCCAGCTCTGCAAAGATTTGTGCTTGGGGAATAGAGCCTATGAAGACAGCTAGTCTGAGTTGTTTCATCTACCACCACCATAGACCTGGAAGTCTCTGTGCTGCTCCAGGACTCGGTATCTCTGGCACAAAGTGTTAGGTCTTCCCAGCTTCTGCACAACCATGCATCTGGAAGCTTCTGCAATATTTCTGCTAAAAAGTGAGTAGACACTACTGAACATCCATCAAATAGCAGCAAGTCCAAGCACAACTGGTCAGAATCAAGACATACAGAGAAGGAAGTGGAGGCACTGGGCTGGACTTCCAACTGAGGCACCAAATTGGACTTCAGGAAATTACTCCTCAAGGCCTTGGGTAAATCAGATAACCCTTCCATCTCTCTGAACATGCCTGAACACAGGTTTTGTATCAATCTGACTGTAAAGAAATCAACAGAGCTAAATTAATGATCCCTTATCACACCTGCACATGTACAGATTGCATTTTAAAGCATTTTTAGACTGCTAGGTTGTTTTGTTTCAAAACAAAAACAACCAACCTGCTTCAATGGCTCTGATTTTTGTTTGCACTGATTTGATGAAGTCAGTGTAAAATCCAACAGTAGACCGAATTTTAAGCAGAACTCCCTTCCCATCACATAAACATAGAAAATACAGCTGGAAAAGATCACAAGAGATGATCTAAAATATCCCCCCTCTGCCCCAAAACGGAATCAGTTCTACCTAAACCATTCCCTCGCAGCGCACATGGCCCATCTACTAAACTGTGTGCAGTTTACTCTCTCAGACATGCAGACACAGCGCCCATCAAAACGAAGCCTCAGTCTCTGCTGCAATTCTGCTGCTATTCATACTTCAATTCCCTTAGCAGAGCTTATTTTAAAAAAATTACATGTGATGTAATGGCTTTGATTTTGTAAGTCATCAAAGAACAAGCTTTGCTTTTGATAATCTCTATTTCAAGAAATGCTATAATTTCTCTTTAAACAGGATTTATTTTTTCCACATATTCTGTTACTGGTTTGGAATCACAAAATGTTTTAGGTCCTTGGGGAAAAGCTCTGGCTATCCATCTTTTAACTACTAATCTGTTTTTTCTATTAAGACAGTTAAGTCTCTCCTCCCTCAAACTTGTCAGCTATACTGATAAGTCATTAATTGATTTATTTTTTTTTTTAAACAACTACAGTAGGCTAAAATCAAGCGAGAAGCCTACTGAAGAACTCAACTTCTGGCTTGTTTGGTAATAAATAGTGCAGTATTGTATTCTGTCACTCTTTATTCTCGTTCTAGTGTCTGGAGATTGCCCAGATGTTTTGTCCTCTTTTTTTTTTTTGCTGCAGAAGGCTTTTGCCTCTGGGCTGTGCAGTGCTAGCCTCTGCTCTCCTGACTCTAGTTAATCTACGTGGCTGTCAGAGTTGTCACATGAATGGTGAATCATGGCCTCTCGCTGCAATCACTTCAACCCCTGGGGAAGTGCTCAGAGCAGACAGCTGCACAAACCCCCACCCAAGCAAAGTTTCTCCTGGATGAGGATTTTACAAATCAACTTTGAAATAATCGCAAAGCCTGACTGACAGGTCCCTGGTTTTTAAATAACAGAAATTTGTCAAAAACAAATTGGTTGTCTTTCAAACAGACACCCTGTTTGAGTCTTTTTTTTTTTTTTCCCCCCTTCTCTTTCCTTTGCTGACTTTCCTATTTCCAAACAACAACTGGATCGGTTTTCTTCTAAACAAACTTGAATTACAAAGGAATGTTGTTCTGCTATACTTAATAGATTTGCACATTTTTCCCTTTCTTCTTTAGTCTTTCCCAGTATAACATATAATCCTTTGCACCTGCAAAAGCTCCACAGACTGCTGACTGCCAAGAATCCACCACGTGACCCTGCTTCCATGACCAGAGATCCTGTGTTTAAAGAGAAAGGAAAATAAAAAGTTATTAAACGTTTGACTCTATCTGATCCCCATGTGAGTTAACTCCAAGGATGGGAACTTAAGTGAAACGCTATTTTTGTGGCATTTTTCAGTGATGTAATACGTGATTTTTCCCAAGGAACTTGTGTACTTGAATAAGCAGATGGAGTGAGAAAGATGTCTGGAACTGAGGAAGGCTTGAAGCAAATTGCTTTCAGGGATTTCATATGTATGTATTTAAGCCTGTGGCCATGCAACTTTGCAAATATTTTGCGAATTTATTTTATTTTTGGCAGATAAAACAGTGCAAAGCAAAACACTGAGCAGGGGGCGGCATGCAAGAAGTTCAGCCCAGATGTACCAAACACTCCCATTTAAAATGAACAGTCCCCAGCACAGCGAGATAGAAGTCCTGTTTGCTCCCCTACATTTCTTAAACCAACCCTTCCCCTCGCACTCCCCAAAAACCCCCATCGTTAAGAAATTACTCTTATCACTCCCATTGTATCCCAAAGCAGGTGTGTCTCTGTTTTTCACTTGGCGTCATTAGGGACCACACACTCTTCCCCTCCCCACCGCTCCCACACACCATGCTCCAATCCATTTAACTCACAGCATCATTTAAACATGCACATTGAAAAACACCACCGAGAATGGTGCCTTCTAAAAAACACGTATCAAGATGAGTCAGATCAGTATCAGCAACAAAGGCCAATGTGTGCTGGGATGGTTTTTATTATGCCAGCTACGGACACTTTGTTCTCTCCTCCTCCACCCCACTCCATCACCCCCTTCCCATCTCCCGAAAGGCTTAACGCTGGAAGTTGGAGGAGAGGTTTCTGGTTTACGATGCCAGGAGCAGTGCTGAGCAAGAAGGGATGGGATCCATGGCCTTTCTGAGGCCTACCGCAGAGAAATCGGTAATTTTATTTCATAGCTGTGGCACTATCTCATTCTTTTTAAAGCCATATTACTTCTAGTCCGTAAAATTTCCTGAAAGCAACCCGATAGCTGTGCTAGGCTGAGGTATTGCTCTCGGGCTCCCAGTCTGCAACACAGCCACTTTCCACGAGGGCACGAGAGCTCGTTTCCCTCAGTTGATGACTCTTCATTTAATACTCTGTCCTTGTGACTCGCTTCTTCCAACTTGGCTACTGGTTATATTTCAGCTGAATGTTTTAAAAATCAAACTGTTCAAGCAACAATGGCCAGCCACAATGTTGTTTGGTATCCTGCCATAGCTAAATAGCTGCAGCTCTGCTGTACGAAAGCACTAAAGGGATTTCAGTCTCTTTAATGCTAGCCACTCTGTTTCTGGTGTTTTCAGTATGGGCTTCTATTCTGCTGTCACCCACAGCAGAAACTGTTTTGCATCTCATTAATAAATAAATACAGAATCATAATTCTTCAAACCCATAAGATGCTTTTCTGGAATAACTTAGACTCTTTGGACACACGGTTTTCTTGCAAGTCAGTCCTGCTGGATGAAGGACACACACGCAAGACAAAAGGCGCTAACTTCCAAAGCATCTAGGTATTTTCCAAGCATAAATCACACCTTCAAAACCCATTTTCAAAATACTTCAGGTACTTAAGAAACCTGAGAGTCAGGGCACTGCTGGAGCCATGTGATAAAAACAGAATTACTGTATTTTTTCATTAAACAGCCTCCAAATGTCTATACATCTACAGCTAAACCGAAGAACTTAGAACAGTTACTTCTGTCATACAAACAAGTACAATGGGAGATCTGCTGGAGGACTCGGAGGAAAACCAGCACATTAATACAGACATTCATAGCTTTGCCAGAAGCCCAGCCCATTCTCAGTCATGACAGGGTTTTATGTTAATGGCATTGTCCAAAGAAGTAGGAAAAGGTCATTCGTATTTCTTGGCATGTAGCTCTGAAATCTAGTTTCTGCTAAAGCCTGGTTTCCCTGCACAGTTCTGCACAAAGAGCCTTTGCCAAGCAAGGCAAATGGTGATGAATTCCCATCCATTATGCCTGCAAATTGACAACAGGTATTTGCAACAGTCATGCAATACAGAAAATTGTTTAGAAGGGTGGAGCCAGGAACAGTTCAATTAAATTAGGGAAAAGGAGAATTGAGCCTGGAGAACAGGAAGAAAATTCCCCAACAGTGAGGTCTACTGAACAGCAGAGCCAGCCTCCCCAGGGAGGAGAGGAAAGCCCTCTCCTTTGAGTCATTTAAAAATAGACTGGAGAAGGCACTCAAGACTGTACTGTGGGGAATAATCCTGCGTTGGCGAGGGCAGGATGAGATGACTTCATGCATTTCTTTCCATCTCTGATTTTGGTGATTCACCCAGAGCTCCAAACCTGAACATGCTGAAGAGCGAGAGAGAAGCGGGGTGCGAGGACATCATCCCAGAAGAAGCTGGGAGGAACAAGTGTCACTGGGACAAGAAGACTGTCAGGATTTTGGTCCAAATTCTTTCTTACCACACTCACGCTGCCAGCCAAGCTGATGTGCTGAAGGTCAGACATGTTTTCTCTCACAGCCCACAGACCCACTAATTGACAGGGCTTTGTGGTAAGCTGGGTTTCTAAGTTCTTCAAAAACACTTGCCGTTGTGCTGCACCAAGCATGGTTTTAATACTACTAATGCAGGGCAAAGCATAGAAGCTATTAGAAGTTTGTAGATAGAGGCAATAACAACATCAGTGTGAAACTGGAGCCTTGTTCCTGGGAAAAAAATGCAGGCTTCATATACATATCCCCAAAATACCAACTTTTGCCAGAATCACTGGTTATTGGCAGTGATACAGTGCCCAGATCATACTCTGCCATGAGTATGCTGCACAAATTCAGAAGAGCCTTCCCTCAGTCAATTCCACTTGGGGGGATAACCGTGAGAGCTCAGGTCATACAGAAGATGGGTGTCAGAGGCAGGCTCAGAGCCCATGGGTCACTGCTCTCTGCTCGGGGCCTTTGAAAAGGGTAAGCATGGGCAGAAGCACCCACATAATGCCTGCAGAAGCCCTGCAATTATTCTGCTTCTCCTATACACACTCTTCCAATATAAAACATAAACTGGGAATTATGAGTAACACAACTCAACAACTGGATCAGCCTGGTTTCCCCACCAGTGCCACCAAATGGCTCCTACCTGCTTACGCTGTGCTGCTCCTGCAGAAGGCAGCAGGAGATAACCAGACTTTTCCCATTCCCACTAGTATTCACAGCCTAGGAAAGCAAAATGACAAGGAGCACATTACATGAAAGGGGGCCGCCATGCCAAGCCTGTGTCATGTGTATTCTATTAAGCTGAAGGCTGAATGGAAGACTTTGTTTTCCACTTCAAAGGACCCCATCCCAATCTCTCGCTCTTCCCTTATGAATAACAAATTGGAAATAAATCTTCTGGCTGAAGCGCATGGAAACTCATACAGTTGGGGCCCTCTGCAGCTTCCCAGCTCAATCACATGCTAATTTTTTTTGTAAACACTTTTATGTGATGTATATTTAAATCTCTCTGTGCATTACCGCACCGTGTAAAGCAACACAGAGGGTGTATCCTCAAGGGATGGGACACAGTGGGAAGCCTGAATGCAGATTTCCAATTATTCACAGGGATAATGTTCGTAGAGAGAGGTCAAGTTTTATATGTGGGCAGGGCCTTACTTTTCTTCCTAACAACCCCATTTCATACTGTCCCATAGCCCGGTGTCTTCTGCTTCTCACCACAAACGTTATTTATCTCTTTTCATACTAAGAACACAAGAACACCCCATTTTGCTGGGCAGAAGGCACACTGGAAAAGTCACTCTTAGGATAAACCAAAGGCTTTTCAATCTAAAAACCAACCAAACAAAAGATTATCACTGCCTTTAAATACAGGGAGGAAGTATACGGTGCCCACAAATGTGAGCTCCTCACGTGTTGAGGACACCTGGCCTCCAGATGGACAATAACCTTTGACTAATTCACACAACTCCTTACCTGTGCCTGCCTGTCACCTTCGCCATGTGTTTGTGGTAAAAGTTCGGGGCAGAGATCATCTGTCAGCTTTGTGCTCCCAACGCAGTTGGGTCTTGGTCTATATTCAGGTCACCTACGCTATGGTGATCCTGGGAAAGTACAAACCTGATTACCAGAACAACACCCCAAACACTGCAGGAAGCATCACAGAGAATGAGGCATCTCCGCCTTGGCCTTGCTAGTCTTCAGGCACCAAAAGACAAGCAGACCTCATGGCATACACTAAACTTGAGGCCTGCAGCTGAGTAAATATTACAATTCATTCCAGTGATAAGCATCTGTAGTATTTCTACGCACCCCTATGTTCAAGGCAGTGTTCAACTTCATGATAACAGAGGGAAGAAAAATCTCTCTGAATTAATCAAATAGATTTGTGTGCATGTGCAGTCCTGCAGACTGAGAAAAGAAAAGCAATTTTCATGCTTGCCTTTGCTACTAGGTATTTTGCTTGCAACGTGGCATTCTGCATGGCTGATCCTTACACATGCATGGCACATTAGCTACAGGAGAAGCAAAAAATTCATAAGCTGATTGCAATTTCTATACATAAAATCAAAAAGCATAGAGCCAAATGTCCTCCCCAGTGAATTTTTATGTGCATATGTGCAGCATATGTGCAGTACATGTGTATATTATCTTGCAGGAAACATGCAAGCCCAAACATAGGAAAAATTCAATGATCTAAGTCTGCTGTTGACATAAATGTTGAGACTCCATGCGCACTAATGGAGTTGTGCTCACTTATGCCAGTACCGAATCTGGCCCAAGAATTAAACCCACCCAAATCCTAGATAAATTGAGAGAAAGAGAAAAAAAGTTGGCCTACATGCAACAGCATATTTTTCATGTTAAAACCATTTCATTCCCTTTTTCTCTCCATATAATACTGCATTGATGTCTGTGACCCATTTGGGTGTAAATCAAAATGGATGTGCTAAAAGCCTGGTTAAAGAAAATGTCTTCAAGACAGTGTTCCCATGGCAAGGCA